TTCACTAACCCATGACACATGCCAACAATTTCTTCACTGGATTTCTGTATCAGGTCTGGTGTAGAGAATTGGATGCTGGCCTGAATGAATTTTTTTTATCCATAGTTATTCTGCATGTGCCTAGAACTGAAAGGTCAAGTTTTTGAGCTACCAGAAATTTTAGCAGAAATAGGACTTGCTGGGCATCATTTGGCCCACCAGTTGCAGAGGAACTGAAAGGTTAAACCTTGACTTCAGTTTTTGGAAGATCTTCTGATACTTTGTAAGGCACTGCAGATTTACTGTACAGTGGGAGAAAGCATAGCTAAAGAGGTTGCTATAAATAACTATAAACTCGCTGCAATGTTTTATAGAGTAAAATTATGTGTAATGGCTGATGTGTACACATTGCATTAAACAATAAATTGTGTTTTGCAATACATATCAGTCTTCTGCAGACAGCTGGCACTGAAACGGGATTCTTAGATATGCATGGGCATACTGAGCATTGTGTTCAGTGGTTTAGAAAAGTAACTCCCACAAAGGATGTTTTGATTGCAAATTATGGCGCACCCAACTGAAATGGACAAAAAAATGCTGACGAGTTTTTATTTACATGACAAGAAAGCCCAGATGTTGGACAGGCTACACACTGGTTCAGCTATGACACTGGCTCCTTCCCTTTGTGGTTCTCTTGATTCTACTCTCCTGTCCTGTGTTGTTTGGTTTTGTCCCTACTTTGGGGGGAGAACAGTGGTAACTAGGGCTATTTTATATTCCATCAGTTAAAAGATAACGGCTTCTTTCACTACAGTAAAAATGAATTTAAATGCTGCAAGATAATTAGAGTAACATCTGTGCCACTACTGGCTATATACTCAGAAGACACTGTGTCAGCATATCACAGAGATACTTGCCATCCATGGTCATGGGGCACTATTCACAACAGCCAAGTGACAGGATCAGCTCAGGGTCTGTTGACAGATGAATGGATAAAGAGAATATGGTACATGTGGATGACAGAGCTTTATTTAGTTATGAAGAATAAAATGATTTTTTTGATGGAAATGGACCATATTTTTGATGATCATATTAAGTGAAATGAGCCAGGCAAGTCTTGCATGTTTTCTGTCATTCATAGATCCTCTAATTTGGGTAGCTACACAAGACCATATGTATAATGTAAAAGCATAAGGGAGACTTCTGGCAAGAGGGAGATGAGAGGCAGAGCAAGAGACAGAGTGCAGGAGGGAGGACGAAAGAGAAGATATGGGGAAATGGATATAATCAGGGTACTTTAGATACTTGAAGAAAATTGTCCTTACTAAACAAATCATGATGCAATGAATATATGCTAATAAAACAAAATGTAAGGCAAGATTCTATAAACCATGGAGATTCCCCCAAAATTTGAAGGGTACCTGAATTTTTGCTTCTGCTTAGTATTTATTTTTAAGCAGTGCCTCTTTCCTTATACCTCTGATAGTGTCAATGTTAATCTAGAAATAAGATGCTTCTGTACTTCTAGAATAGGACTAATACTTTAAGACATTCTTCCAAGCCTAGAACTTCAGTATGCATAGAACTAATTATGCAGAACAGGTCAAGAAAACAATTTCTGGAATTTCCTACAACTGGTCTCTCATCATGGTGTCACTTGCCTGGGTATCCTGGGAAAATGATTTTTTATCTTTTGGAGCCTTATTTCTTTAAGAAACAGAAACAATATTAGGACTTACCTCTCAATGACTGGAGATGACATGAAATAGTACATGCAGTGTATATATAAAAGTGTCCGGTATTTTTGGTTCATTGTGCCCCCACTGACTCAGTAATTTTCTAATGGTGCTAGTTTATGAGCTGTATATTTCCCTCAAAAATCTAAAATATCTTACAATAATCTTGTGAGTTGTCTATGTCATTCTGGGGGTATGTTTTTCACCAGTTCAGGAATAAAACATCACTGGGGACAAATTTCTCTTTAATTACAGGTTGGTTTTTAATTGAGAGATGTCTATTATTATCATTAGAGAAAGGTTCATTGGAAGAGTAGTTTCTACACCAACAGTCATACCTAATGCAGTGTCATTTTCTAGGTTTACTCCCCCCATCCCACTGTCACTCACTGATCATGCCATTGCTTTAAAAGAGATTTCATGTGCTAGATGGACGTACTTTCTTTTGCAGTGCCTGAAAGTCCATATACTTGGGAGGGTGAGACAGAAATTTCACATTTATATTTATTATAAATTGTATTCAATTTATATATTAAATAATACACATTATTATTCAAGTCTTGCCTAGGCTACAGGCTGAGTTCAGAGCCACCCTGAGCAACTTAGATCCTGCTTTAAAACAAAAAGTAAAGAGGACTAGGATGTAGTTCAGGGGTAGAGTGCTTGCCTGGTGTCTATGAGACTATGGGTTCAATCCTCAGTACTCCTAAACAAAAGCAAGAATGCAAGGTTTTCTTTAGTCTCATTTAGGATTTTCTATTATTTTCCTTTGCTTTCCCGCTTCCTTTCTCCATGCCCTCCTTACCCAGTATTCAAATCCTGAGTCTCACCCAAGCCCTCCTCACAGTGAGGAGAGACTGGCTACCTAATTCAGGAAGAATGGTTGGTTTGACTGTTTTAATTCCCCATTTGGCACATGAGCCAGCCAGAATATGGGGTGCTGTTAACGCTTTCCTGCATGCATCCTTCCTTCCCTTAAGAAACAGGGACAATCAGTTTAAACCCTATTCTAATTGAACTCGGAACTCTCTGGTTGTTCCAATACATTGGGCATGCAGGGAGACCGAGTTTGCAAACTTGATTAAAATAAAGGCTCTTTGCTTTTTTACATACGGGACTCTTGGTTTCCTTGCTGGCTTGCTGGGGATTGCGGATTTGGGCGTAACACTGAGAAGCTAAAGAGAATAAATCTTTGAAGCCGAGGTTGGTAGAAGATCTCTGAGATTTCCTAGAGGCGAGAGCCGCCTTCAGTTCTGTTTGGTTTTTCAGATTCACTGAAGGGAAATCTGATGTTGGAGTAATTAAGGAGGAATGAAATAGAAGACCTGTGCGTGCACTGTTGACTCTGGGCCTCCTTGGTGCTGGCCGGCAGAGGTCGGGAGCGGCTGGCTGGCTGTTAGCCCCAGCCTGCAGCGTTTGCTTTGGCCATTGGGGGAAAGAGCACTTTGTGGAAAGCCAGCCTTCCCGGCCAAGCGCCTATTTTCGTCCTGAATCTGTTGAGTCCAGCCTGAAGGTTGGCTCCAGGATCAACAGAGGCCATGGAAAATGGGACTGGATATCTGGCAGACATCACTGTGGGCTTTGTCTTCCTGACCAGGTTAGTTAGCCCTGAGCTCACGAAGGCAGGCACAATGGAGAGCTAAGGACCTTGTAGCATCAGTACCAGAAAGAACAAGCTTGTTGCATGGTCACTGTATCTCAGGCCAGGCCTCATTTATTTCCCAGCTCTCTAGACTAGTAAGGTGGGCGTGGAGGAAGGGCTGATACAGTCTCCATAGTACCTGAGGTCTCTTAAGTGAAAGACCATCAAACTATAGGGCCAGTTATTTTTTCCAGCAAAATCGGGAGACTCCTGAGATTTAGTACACTTATTGTCTAGAAAGCCAGGCACAGCATGTTTATGGTTTTGAGAACTCTCCTGGTTTCTATGTGCTTATTTAACTCTACCTTGGTGACAGGGAAGTATTCCTACGTGTGTGTAAATGAAGGAGCGTACCACCTTTCTTTGCTTTTTTTTTTTAAAAAAAAAGCTAAAATGTCAAAAAACATTCTTAGACTATGTTCTGCATGAAAATAGACGGTAGGTTGGATATGGCCTGTGAGTCCTAGTTTGTCTTTAGCATCCACCACTCTAGAAGATAGAGCACACACTACAGGGTTAACTTGGGGATGTTTGGATTGAATGAAAAGGATAACCAGAGGTATAGGAAAACGGGGTACGTTTCCCAGGAAGTTGCAACAGCTACCTTAAAGAAACATATAAATGATGTTCAAGAGGCACTGGTTAAGGATGTCATAGGAAGGTTCAAAGGTCTGACCAGGGATTGGTTCTGATTCTTTAAAAGCTACAGGATGGTTGCTGTGTAAGGATGTTTCCACTTCTGTGTATCCATCATTTCCCACCCGCTCACTAGCTACATTTCAATTTTAAGGGATCTTTGTACACGATCCATTCTCCCTTGACTAGCATTTGTTGATTATTGCCTCATCTTGCTCCTCATTTTTTGTACATTCTTATTTTCCTTTCAGAAACTAAGGGGTTAATGTCAAAAGGGCAAGGTTCGCTGGGCAGCTGCTGCACTGTTGCCTAGCAACCCTCAGGGGCAGCTCAGAATTTGTGCAGAAGCTTTTGTGGAAATATGGTCTGATCCAACCATCAGGGCGGAGTAGAGAGCAAAGGAGATCATGTATATCAGACCCATTAAAAATCATGAAACAGGATTTGACTCTATCTCTAAGAATATTGAATCTTCTTTTATGTCACTAGGGGGAATTAATTTTGCTTTAGGAGATTTCAGCTCTTTCCTGCCCCCCTTCTGTTCCCCCAGTGGTTTGGTCCTATTTCTCAGGACATCATCCTTGTCACTAAATCTCCAGAGTGGCCTGCTCCTGTCTCATAGATTATTATACCCTCTGTTCTCTTACCCTTCCCTCTAGTTATCTGGTTTGTAAGAATGCTTTGATGATGTCTTGCACTAAAGCATCCCTTCTCAGCTCCCTGTCCATGGCAGTGGTTTGTTCCTATCTGCTGAGCATCAGCATCTTTCCCCTCCTTTCTCACAGGAATGATTAGATACTGCGTCATTGAGCATCAGGCTTTTAGCCCCTCCCCCGGGGTCCACAGTGGTTTGATCCTATCTCATGGACTATTAGGTTCTCTCTGATTCCCCCCTCCAGCGTCACCATTACTAATGGTATGATCCTCAGCATCAGGTCCTTTTTGTCCCCCACTGGTCTTCTGAGCAGAACTGACGCAGCTTCATCTCATTCCTGATGCATCCTGAGTCCCTCAGTGCCTTGCTACTGCGTCAGTGCTATAAACTGGACCAAGTGGGTTGAAAATGGACAGAAATTGATCTTGATCACTTTAGATATTTTATGACAAAGAAAAAAAAAGTAATTTCTGTCCAGTTAAAATCCATTTGAGCCAGTTTAAGGGAATTGCGCAGAGCTGGAGCCTGAGGTCGGTAAAGCCAAGAAGATGGCTGAAGACTATGCTGACTCAAGCCCAGACAAGGATCCAGGTATTTATAGATGTTGAAAATAATCTGAGCAAAAGAAAAGAAACCAGATAAGAAAACAGGAAAATACAGGAAGTAGGGTTGATAGAGGGAGGACTCAGAAGAGGTTAGCACAACATGAAGAAAAATTTTTTATATATTTAATATATAAAGATATATAAAAAGGGGTTTGGGGCTCTAAATTGAGGCATCTGGGAGGCAGTCTGAACGCTGACGTCATCTGGCTGGCTGAAGCTGAGACTGGGTGGTTTGTGGTGCAGTGATGATGCCTGGCTCTGCAGGCCAACTCCTAGGGCCATTCTTTGTACGGGACTCACCTCAGGCTATTTGATTGATTGTCTCACCCCACTAATGACAGCCTTTTCACCCCTTTAACTGTGATAGACATTTAAATTAGGAGGGAGTGAGCAGATTTTGAAGAAAGTTAATTACAATAGGTAAGCCAAGGTGTGAATGAGGGAGTTGATTAGAATTGAGTTGGAGTGTTTACTTCCTAATTATTTTTTAGCAAGGTGGTTGGGGAAGTGGCAGCTTCAGCAAAGTGCGTCATTCCTCATCTCTGGCAGGGCTTCTCCTCGGGGCTTGTGGCTTTATGTAGAAATTGGACTGCGTTGTCTGAATTTCTGTCATGTGCACGTATTCCTGTTGTTTGTGGGAACTGCCGTGGAAAAGACGGGGCTGAGACATGGAGGATGAAAACAATGACATTTCCGCAGACTGCGGCATTTCTGATGCAGTGGGCAGGCCCGATGGTTTGATGACGATGACGAGTCATGTACTGCGGCAAGATGGAGGGTGGGGTTGGAGCTGGCTGCTTCAGCGGGCAGGGGTGCATGCGGCTCTGCGGCTTCCTACCTGTAAGGAGAGAGAAAGCTTTTCTAGAATGATTTATTAGAAACTTCAGTGCCTGGAAGGGAAGGTGATATTTTTTAAAAAAATATTTTTTTGAGAATTTGTTAGGATTCTGCGTATTTAGGAAGATGGCTTCAGTTAGCCACTGCCCATTTCTCCAAAGGGAGGATGGCGGCCATTTTGCTGAAGGCAGTTGAATGGCCTTCCCAGGACTGAGAAGGTAAGAATTAGAAGGTTTACAATCAAATAACCTAGGCTTTGTGGGTCGTCTCTGTTATTTGTAATGTGAACATTGAGCAAATTAACCTTTTAGAGAATTACGCTTATTTCTAAAATACAGCTAATATCATCCTGCTTAAAAGATAGAAACTTAGAGTTTAATGCCTTTGGGGGCAAAGTACGTCATATTCAACATTTTTGTCTTATTGAGTTGGATTATGTGACAGGGATTATTTTTGTGTATGTGTATGTATAGTTTAGCTTGATAAAGACAATTTCTTTCTAAATTTTTTAACAATGCTTTTCACAAATGAAGCCACTGAGCTATATTGAGGATCAAAGAGAAATTTATTCACTGTAGAATTTTAGAAAATATAAAGCATCCATGTACATATTTGCTGTTTCTATAATAATGCATGGATTATTACCCAAGCAGTACTAGAGAAACCCAGGATAAAATGTTTTCTGGTGTTGCACACTCACGGATTTCTCGAATTTCAGATTCCCTTCCTCCTCGACTTCACCTGGACCTGTGGCGACTGGAAGCCTTGAGATGTGGTACGCAGCATCATGAGTCACTGGAACACAAGATGGAAGAGGCAGAAGGGGGGGGACTTGGGGGATGATGTCAGAGATGTGGGTGTGAGCAGAATGGGGTAGCACAATCTGGCCTTTAGCTGTAAAAATATGGGAACTGCGTAGTTTCAAGAACAGCCTTGGCTACCTTGCCTAGATTCTATTCCTGGTTCTGTAAAAAGCAGGATTAGGTAAAGAAGCAGCTGGAAGGGCAATGATGGGGGCTGTGGATAATATGGTACAGTGTTAATCACAATATTCCCATTGGGGAACTATGCTATGTAGTCAGAATTAAGAGCCAGGAAATATGGCCTTTTTGAATGAGATCTATTAATTAATTGATGATTATAATGTGTCTGCAGGGCAGAGAAGAGCATGACAAAGACTTTTGTTGTGGTGCTCTGTGAACAAGATGGAGGAACTATGAGTCAGCATTTCTCTTTTAGCGAGATTCTGAGTGCGTTCTTTAAGGCAATCTTTTACTGAGAACTGACTATCTACCAAACATGCTGGATACTTTACATATATTGCTTATTTATTTCCCAGAACCACCCATGCACATGAAGAAAACATTCACAAAGGGTGTCAGTTCTTTTTTGTTATTTTTTTCTGGATCAGGAATTCTCACTCAGTGTGCAGGATGAGGATCTGTTCTCTTTGGAATTAGGAACAGCACATGCAGAAAGGCCTTTCTCCCAGTTCAGCTTGCTTCTCAGGAGGCCTGCCCCTCCCTGAGTCTCTAAGATGCTATGTGAGCCACTGTGATGATGGAAATGGGTGGGCACAAGGTCTCTCAGGCACATCAAGTTAGGGAAAATGCTGAACGTCATCATTATGGAGAGGTCCCGGGTAGTAGGCTGCCTGCAGCGCTCTACCTGGCTCTGGCTTGGCTTCAACATTCTAGTTCATGTCTTGGGTGGAGCTGTAGAATAGCAGGTTTATGCGGTGGGAAGACAGAACTGGAATGCAGGGAGAAGTAACATGCTGGATGACAGAACTAGGAATCTATGAAGAATTTACCAGACTACAAAGATAATCCAAAAATAACAAAATAAATTTGATAAGAGCAAGTGTGACATTTTGTGTTTGTTTTATAAAGCAAACAAAATTCTTTTAAGAAATTACAGTTCTAAAGGATGAACCCATGGCTAAGGTGGAAAAGTTAATGTAAACTCAGATTATATTTGTTAATTATTGTATAGGCTCTAAAATTGCAGCAATTGATTCTTTTATCCTGTCCAGCATTTGTAGAGCCATATCTCAAGTACTGTGCTTGGTTATATTGTCTTTAAAGGGGGAATGAGACAAAATGGAGACTAAGGAAAGAAGCCTGAAAAGTGAATAGGCCATGATGACTGTCTTCTGATATCTTTAGACTTCTCATGACTAAGAGGATTTATTAGTACAATTTGACCTCAAGAGGCAGAATGATTGGATGGGGGCTCCTGCAGAACTGCCTGGACAGTCTCAGTGGGAAGGAACTTGCTTCCTGTGAAAGAAAGCAGAAGCCACATGACTTGTACTAGTGGCTGAGCTGTGAGTCCCCAAATGTAGCCTTAGTTCTTTGAGTATTTGGCTGGTGGGTGATGGGGCAATGATCAGAATGGAAGGACACAGAAGGGGGACTTCATAAGAACTAGTGAATCCAAGGTTTTCTTTAAGTGGACAATTTTAAAAATGTATATTTTGGCTCAGCCAAAAATGTCAGTTTTCACAACAGTTAGGTAATTATGGATTACTAACCTTTTATGGACACATTGTCCAGGTTGGCCTTAGACTTTCTTTGTAGCCAAGGATGACATTGAACTTCTGATTCTCCTACCTCTGCTCCTAAGTGCTGGGGTCATAGGTGTGTGTCATCAACTTGAACTCTGGGCTTTGTGCATGCTAAACAAGCGTTCTACCGGTTGACCAACATCCATAGCCTTGTATGTTATTCCCCCCTCCCCTTCTTCTTTTCACAGATGAGAAAACTGAGGCTCAGAGAGGTCCCATGATTTGTCCAAGGCCATAAATCTTGTAAGTGACCCATGCAGAGTGCATCAGAGTCTTGAGGTGTGGGGAGGGGTACTGCATGTGCCTCGGGGTTGTCATTTTTACCTGATCACTTCTCCAGTTGAGTAACATGCTGATATTGCCAGAGGCGCATCAGGACGGTGCACAAGTACGTCATGTTGGGCTGAATGCCTGGAGCTGACGAGAGTATTGTGAAGATATATGATCAGCCTGCAGCCCAGCAGGTCGTGGAGGATGAGGTTGGAACACAGCTGAGCTATTACACAGGCCAAATGGCATGAACACTTATTCATAATATCTGTGCCTTCCCCAGAACAATGTCTGCTATAGACACTTGGAAGGATCCATCTGTAAGAAGACATGGAGACCTTCCCTTTAACAATCAGGGAAGTGTGGTCTAGAGAAGGGCAGGGATCTCTCCAAGTTTTTTTAATTAATGATTTTGTCCCTGACGGTGCCAGAAATTAATTTTTAATATAATCTAGAAAATTTAGGATTCAAAGCACATTCATTTTTGAGGGAAGACCAAATCCCCTGTGAACCTGGCTGCAAGACACATTTGGAGGGTTTGCTTCCATTTCTTCCTGATTATTGTATAAGCTAGCATCACAGAAATATAAAGGTACACACTCAGAGTGTTAGCCAGACTGGGACAAATTTCCTTGCTGGAGCCCAGAGGGAAATCCACTAAGAATTTTTTGAGCCTGGGGTTCTTTACTTGCAAAAATAGGACTAACAATTTGGTTCTAGTCCTGTGGAGGTGAAGGTGCCTGAGGCAGTCTAGATAAAGGGAACCGAGGGCAGGGAGGGCAGAAGCTCAGAAGAGTGCTGTCTTCTGGACAAACAGATTTGAAAATTACTAGCCAAGGAGCTGGAGAGATGGATCAGCAGTTGAGAGCACTGCCTGATCTTCCAGAGGTCCTGAGTTAAATTTCCAGCAACTACATGGTGACTCACAACCATCTGTAATGAGATCTGGTGCCCTCTTGAGGAAGAGACCTGGTCAATCATTCTAATCAACTTAGATCATGAAACCCAATATGGACAAGTTCAACAGAACCTTCATATATGGGCTTCCCAGGCATACATCCCTCAGCACTGGCAGGGCATACATTTCATTAATTTCATTTTCAACCAAAGGGATGGTATAGAAAGCCATATATGTGGATAGCCTTACCTGGAGAGAAGGATTGCTGCAAAATGGAGTGGTGGGCTGTGTCCCACCATCCGGCTAGTTTTACCCTAAATAATTACATGGAAACTGTATTCTTTTAGATACTGCCTGGCCCAGATATCTCCAGCCTTTTCTGGCTAACTCTCATATCTTGACTTTAACCCATTTTTAATAATCTGTATGTCATCATGAGCTCCTGGTTTACCCGGGAAAGATTCAGCATGTCTGACCTGGCAGCTTCATGGAGGCGGCTCTCCTGACCCTGTTTTTTTTTCTCCCAGAATTCAGTTCTGTCTTCCCCGCCTATGTTCTGACCTATCAGGCCAGGCAGTTTTCTTTATTAATTAACCAATGAAAGTAACAGATAGATAGAAGACTCTCCTACATCAAAGAATCTCTTCCACAAGATGACTATTGAACCACATTTTTTCCCAGTTCTCTGGGATTGATATGTCTAGATATTAGCCTCTAGACTTAACATATGTGATAATTCTACATTTGTCTTGCATTCCAGCCTCCTTGTTTGCTCATTTGTCCTTTTGAGGACATACTGCATTCTGTTTTGTCATTCTCGGTATATGGTACTCTAAAACTAAACCCAGTACTCCTGAAATGGTGTGTCGTAAAAAGAAAACCATCTCCTTCAATCTGGACACTATCCTTTTATTGGTGTATCCTAAGGTTTCATTAATTCATTTTTTGTGTATTTTGCTCAACACTGCCATCTGCATATATGTATTAGAGCTAAATCCCCCTCAATGTTTTAGCAGGCATAGCTGATACACTATCCCATCTTCCTCAGTCATTTATTTGTGACAGTGACATTCATGAGCTCACCTGGGAATCTTATTTTTGTAAAAAGCCTGATTCTGAGCTAATCTGTGTGTCATTTATTGTAGAGAAGGTTAAAATATAATCTCCCTACCCCTTGAGTCTTATTTTGTGATGTAGCTCATGCTATTCTTGAACTTGCTATATAGCCTATATTATCCTCTAACTTGTAATCCTCCTGCATCAGCCTCCTGAGTTCTGGGATTACAGGTGAATGGCATTGTACTTGGCTACCAGTTTTGTTTTAGGACAACTTTCACACTATTTTTTTCAGAACTGGTGATCAAACCAAAGTTCCCATGTCTTCTATGCGAGTGCTACTGCCACGCCACACCTCTACCTCATTTTATTTTGGTTTTGAGAGAGGGTCTAATTAAATTACTTTGTGTGTCCTGGAATAAACATAACCTGGGCTGGTGTCAACCTTTTAACTCTCTCGCCCCAGTCTCTGCAGTATCTGGAATTACAGGTTTGTGTACCCATACTCAGTTAGCTTGTACACTCTTAAATGTTTTATGGCACCTTGGACATTTTTGTTTTTGTAAGCCATGCCTATTGATATTTAGCATGATAGAACTGAAAACAGAATTCAAAAATCAACTAATTCAAGAACAGAGTCATCAAATTCAAAACAGTTCACAAAAACTTGTTTTGGAATGGAAACATTATTTTCCAAATAAAACATCTATGAATTGTGGTCTTTCATTTTTTTAGTAACTGTCCTTAGTGTCTTCTTCATTCAGTCTTTTTCCTTATCACATTGAGGACACTGAATCTCCTGAATTCTGAGTTATACACAGTTGAGAACTGTCGGATATGGGTGAAGGGAATTGAACTTAAGTCCTCTGCAAGCGCTCTTAATTTCTGAGTCATCTCTTCAGTCATATCATGTAGTTTCTTTTATAAAATTTATTTATTTATTTATTTATTTATTTATGACATATACAACATTCTTCTTCCATCTATCCCTGTACGCCAGAAGAGGGCACCAGATCTCATTATAGATGGCTATGAAATATCACGTGGGTGCTGGGAATTGAACTTAGGACCTCTGGAAGAGCAGTCAGTGCTCTTAACCTCCATCCCCTCACATAGTTTCTTAACATTAGGTCATTTTGACTTCATGAGTTCCTCTGGAAGAGTTTTGGTACCCTCAGAGGTCTCTCAGAAATACAAGATTTTCTAAAATACCCCATGCTGCATGTGAAATGAATGTGCTTTGTCAGTGACCATTTTCTTATTAAAACAAAAACAAAAACTTTTTTTTACATGAAACATCAAACACCATAAGATTCTACAACTATGGGTTATCTAGACTATAGAAATTCAAGATACAGAATAGAATAGTGGTTAATGCTGGTGAGGTGGGAGAGAGGATGGGAGTTCCTGTGTATTGGGTACAAAGTTTCAGTTTGGGGAGCTGCGAAAGCTCTGGAGAACAGCTGAGAACAGAGGGACTGTGGTAAGTGCAACTGAACTGTGTGATTAAAAAGGACTTTGTGTTCTATATAGTTTAACATAATTTAAAAATGCAGACTCCAGATACTTAGTCACTCGTATTCTGACTCAACAGCTTCACCACGAGGCACAGAATCGGCTCTAGAAGTGTTTCAGAAAATACTGCCACCATTTTGTGGCCTGGAGAGATCCCTGCTAGTCATCAGCTTCTGGCTTTCCTGTTATCCTGCTGCCCCACAGAATGCAGTTACTAAGTGGCCTAAGAGCCAGCACCTTCACGGAGTGGTGAAGGTAAGGCCATCCTCCCCTTCTTTTCTATTTTCTGGAAATTGCTTATGTATTCCAGAACTGACCTACCTGTGTTTGGAGAAGCCTGTGCCGGGAGCTGGAATAGCACAGTGCTCATGATGCGGTCATTCTGACTTGTGCCTGTGCAAATGATTTCACACATCATCCATCAAGTGAAGTTCAGGTGTATTATTAAGAAGTTTTTAGAATAAAACATGTACATATATGTACACACATGTATATATCAAAATGTAGGGGACTATATTATTTCAGCTTCCAATGAACTAAATATATGAAATAATAAGGGAAGAGTTATATGCATTCATAGTTAAAAATGTAAGATTCTATGAAATCATAGATGACATTAAAATACGAGTGGTCATCTGGGCACTCAGACAATAATATGATAAAGTGCATTCTGTCCTTACATGATTTGCATATTTGCAAAATCACTCACTTGCTGCAATTTAGTGATATAGCCAAGATCAATTCTGGTATTGTGTGGGCATATTTGAACAAATGTACTGACTGAATACCCACAGTGCAGGCTTCTAGCAGAAGCCCAACTCTGCCTTTTGTTTCCAGTCTTAGGCTGCTAATAAAGCTCTCTGCATGGTGTGTTTAGTACCACAATCATCACATTTTTGATCACTTCACTGTTCAAAATACTTCCCAAGATAGTGCTGTCTAGTGCTTCTAAACTTAAGAAGGTTGGACGATACCTTACAGATAAACCATGGGTATCACACGCACTCCAGCCATTTGTGACACTACTGCTCGCTGTGATTTTGTTGTTAATAAATCAGACCTATGTGCTATGGGTCAGCAATCACTAGTACAGTGTTTGCCATGATTTTATCAAACATCAATTGTGAATAGCAAGAAGCATGATTATTATCAGACATGCTGATTACATAAACTACTTGTCAATTTATGGACGAAACAATGTGATCTTCATCAAAAAGCAAGCTGTAGAAATATATAGGTTAAATGACTAGAGAGGGACAAACAAATCATGCATGTTAACATTATTGAAAACTCTTCCATTTTACTAATGATAAAAGAATTCAAGTTGGAGTAACAATGACAGGTCAGAGTTGTTGCCTATCATATTAGAAAGGATTTATGAACTGTGCTGGCCACAGTGCAATGATCTTATCATTCTTGTATACTACCACTGGATTATATCAGCATGACATCATAGGAAGTGGCTTGGTAAACTTGTATAAATGTTAGTACCTCATGATGGAGAAATTGAACTTCAAAGTATATCTTCTGAAAAATATATGTTTGGCTACAGATTTACACACCTTTAGTATAATGTTATCTGTAAAAGCAAAAATAGAGAAAATAGAAGAGCCTTTGAAGAGATGGAACAGATATACTATGGATTAAAACAAGACAAAAGCCTTCCAATATTATTAAATTATTTTCAAAGAACAGTTGGTGACGTGAAAAACATTTTAACTTCATTGAAATAAAACAGATGTTATTATATAAGTTAAAAATTAAGTTACACTTATATCCTATATACTGAATTAGGTCAAGTTGAAAATAAATCAGTTTCAGGGTGAAGCACACTTTGCTTTAGTACATATGAGTTGAGGGAACCTCCCGACTTGCTCCTCAGTAGCCACACACCTCATTTAGTTGGACTTGCCTTAGGAGGTGGGATAATGAGTTGGAATGGATTTTACTGTACTGCATCGGGCCAGAAGGAACAGACTCACCTTTGGCAATGCACAGAAAGGAAAAATTTCATTCAGACTTCTGTGAAAACAGATGAACTGTCCCAGTTTTGGAAGGCTTCAAGAAGAAGATGACTTTGGAGATGAGTCACAAAGGATATGTAGAGTTTTAAGGTTGAAATGCAGGGTAAGTATTGACTTTTTCAGCCTCTAAGTGACAATTATGCCATTCTAGACTCTGAAGCCAATGACTTCAAGAGGTGTTGAAAGTGATTCTCCTTTGTGATGTATATACCTGGAATTTTCTAGTACCTTACTCTAGGGTCCAGGTAAGTTGTCATGTTCCAATGTTCTGATCTGATTTCAATAGAGAAAAGACATAAAGAAATATTTCAGGAATTGTACACCATCTGCTGAGGTGCGTGTGTATAGAATGTGGAGAACGGATAAAGAGCGGTGGAGAGATGATAGTAAAGAGAGGATGAGAAAGAAACAAATGTTGGTTGACTACTAGTGAGCTCTCACAGTACTTGGGCCATTTGATTTTACCGAAGATGCTAGAGGCCATTAGGTAGGCATTCACTCCAAATTCCAGTGTTGCCTATGAGAAGCGATGGGGATCTGAGGGATAGAGATAGAGTTGCAAATGAACAGTGGAAGTAGTAAGAAGCAGCTGCACATGGAAATGATTTTATAAACTAGCTACAACGGAAGGTCAGAGAGTATTAATTGGCCTAACTCTAAGACAAAGATTGTCAAGGAGAAAATGAATCCACAGAACTGTACCAAAGTTACAAGAAACAGGGACTATGACTATCCTGCAAACTGCAGACCATGGTACCAGTAGGAAGGGTTTGGAAATTTGAACTTGTTCTCCCTGTCAGGATAGAAAAGACTACTAAGAGAGGTTGGGAATTAAGAAGAAGAGTATATTAGATGAAAGGGCATTCTCTACTTTACACTTCTGCACATACTAGTTCCCTCTGCCTATGGTGCATTGGGCCATGTTCTAAGTCAGTGACTAGCATGCATCTATGCCAGTATTTGTAAATGTATCTACCATCTCTAGAAGGGCACAGAAGAAACAGTGATCACACCCAGAGAAGAGAACCTGGTAGGAGTGGGGAGAACACTTACTTCATTTTGTACCTCTTGAACTTGCATTATACATGCTGCCTCCTTCCAAGAAGAAAACTATGAAACACACAGACATGCTCTCTCTCTCTCTCTCTCTCTCTCTCTCTCTCTCTCTCTCTCTGTCTCTCTCTCTGTCTCTCTCTCTGTCTCTCTCTCTCTCTCTCTCTCTCTCTATCTCTCTCTCTCACACACACACACACATCTTTATGTTTACCAGAATATTTCCATCTGCTAAACTATAATCACAAAGTTTCCCTTTCTTATCCGTGAAGCCTTTCCCTGGCCATTAAAACTGAGTTCTATTCTTATTGACCACTAGGCATAGGATCCAGTTGGCAGAATGAAGCAGAGCTACCAAAGGTAGCCTCTGAGTGGAAAGGGGATACACATTTCATGAAGTGGGACCCTCAAGTCAGCAGAACTTCTAGTATTGGTATTTCTTAATACTACTGAGTAGAATACCAAGAAATTTCTTCACTGGTTTGAAGATGGATGAGAAAAACCTGGAAACAAAGATTTGTTGAGAGAAGCTGAAGAAAAGGGCCAAGGCCAAGTCAGGCAGAGGCTTAGTAAAGCTGAGCTATGTTGAGATAGAGTTTCATGTGAATGGTTCTGAAATCCTGGAAAAGCTGCTGTCAGCTACCAGATCCCATAACAAACCTACCCATGGCCATTTATTTATATGAGCAAACTAGTCTTTGGAATCTGCTGGGTTTTATCAAACTTCTTCAACAAAATTTGAATGCCTATTGCGAGGAAGACCCAGCCAGAGCAGTGGCCATGGGCATTCACAAAGGAGAGAAAGTTTTTGTGAGAATCAATGGTTCTTAAATGTGGGTTTTGTGATGGCTTAGGGAACCAAGTGCTGTGGATGCTAACAGAGCCGATATAGTGCTTGGTTCCTAGTAGGTGCTCAGTAAGTGTTTGTGACATAATTCGTTTATTGAGCACCTCCTATCAATCAAGCACTGTGCTAGGCTCTGGGGCCACATAGCTAAGTTAGACAAGATGCTCCTCTTGGAGGCCCTTATGTCTAGTAGTGGCTACAGTAGAATTAAAAATACTAATTAATTAATACTAATAATAGCAGTATTGATAGGGATAAGAGCATGTGCCCAGGAAACAGAAGCAGGTTGCACTGTGGGAAGAGGCAGTGACTATACCATTTATTCAAAAGAAAATGTGAGAGAGGGGGCAGAAAATGGAGAGGTAAGGCTAAGGTGCTTTGCCTTAAACAATGAGAGGTTTGAGCATGATGTTCCCATTAGAGAGGGCAGGGATAAAGATTCAGGGGTTAAGGCAGTGAGCAATGGAAAGACATGAGGTGATTATAGTAGAAACTGGGCAGGATTTCCAAGTAGAACTCTTCTGAGGCAGGAAAGTGTGGATTTGCAGGTTGTACCAGGAGATGATGGAGAAGGTTAAGAGTACGGAAAGGGGAGTGACTGGCATAATGAATTGCAGATCCCAGGCCAGTCAGAGAAAGTAATTATGCTGAATGAGTCTGGTAAATTGGGAGAAATCAAAAGTTCTAGGAATGCAAGTTATAGAAACAAAGAATATTTCTCAGTGGAACAGAAGCAGCCAGAGAGTATCATATAAAAGATGACACAGGTGGGGCAGTTTTGGGTGACAAAATGATCCTGGGTGTGACTGAGGATGTGGATAAGTGATGTAGATATTTAAATCCCTCTGATCATACAAAGACTCACACTAGGAATCTAGGAACAATTAATGTTTGGGAGACCATAAGCAGATGCCAGTGACAAAACTTGGTGGGAGAATGTAAATGTCTTAGCTGCCTTTACCTGAAAAGGGAGGTGAGCAAACGTGGGTTTTGTATCTGTGAGCTTGGCTTCTCCTTCTCACAAGGTCCTTATGGGCATGAGATGGAAGGTTCCAGCCACAGTGAGAAGGAACCAGTGTCTACGGAGTACAGCCTGTCCCAGCAGTTCCCGCTGCCAAAAGCCTAGCTAAGGATAAAGCAGTGCATTGTTTGTGGCTAGTCAGTTAGCATGCAACTCCACAGAAGCCTTGAGAAGTGAAGGAATGGAGAAGACCAGAATCACACAAAGGAATGGAAGCAGTGTGCTCTAGGTTAATTCGCAGAGAGTGTACTGCATGCTGACCCGTTCATCTTTCTATGACCTGTACAGGAACAGTAACGAGCGAGGCAGTTTGTTACAGTGGTCCCGCAAGAGGAATGGCAGGC